CAAGAAAAGGAATCCAAAAATTAAAGTAGGATTTCTTCAATCCTTTCATATGTGAATACTTTCTAATATAATTTAAAGAATTATCTGAAGTATTATAGAAAAACAAACTATTTGATAGTCAGTTCAGTTATAAACATCTGTATGAATTTTCTTAACAAAGAACTAGAAACAGAGCTGATTCCTAAATATTGTGATGTGCTGATGATAGCAAGGAAAAATACATGCTTGTGCCATACTCCCTTGGTTTTATCCAGAACCCATTTCTTGTCCCAGGGTATAGACGGGATCCACCTTGGTAACAACAATTTTCAGTTAACTATCATAAAGGAACAAGTCATTCCCCAACCCTCTAATTTTTTGCTGCAGACACTGATGCAGTAAACTAAGGCGAAAGCAATTACTAGTACCTTTTTGAGGTCCAAGTGCTATTACCAAGATTCTCAATTAAAAGAAAATGGTGTGTGAGAGCACAGAGTAAATAGACTTCCATGGTTTGGACTGAGAAGTATTCCCAAGCACAGTCTGCAGAATAAAGTTTTCTGTGATCAAATTCTCATCAGTCAACCCAAGTAATTAAATTAAAAGAGCAAGCTGAATTTATTTAAAGAATTATTCTTGATTTTGAGATTCAGATCTCTTTTAACACTTTAGTATTAAAATGTCTACTCTTATAATACTGTAACTTTTAAAATCATTTTCATTGTATAAAAATAAAGTGTTCACATGAAAGTTGGTACTGTTTTTGTTAGTGAACATGTTAGACTGAGAACTCCTCATTGGCTTTAGAGACAAAGAAGATGGTTGTCACCTTTGACCCAAATACATATTGGCTCTATGACTGTGACTGAGTAGTTATTCATGCTATGGGGATAGTATTTACTATTATATGGTTTTTTAAGAACTAAATCTTGTAAAACTTGTCAGGTACTTACTTACCACAAATATATAAAGCATATGTGAATTTAACAATTTCATACATATGCTAGTTATTGAGTGGCAGAAGTTCTTAATGTACCTTAACATATAAATAGTAAATAGAAGTCTAATATATTAAATCATAAATGGTGTATCAAACCAAAGATGCAATTTGTGGTTTCAAATATATGCTTGGTAGTGGCAGTGTTTAGCTGGGGAAGGTGGACTGCTGTTATAGTTTATGTTGGTAGCCACCAGGCCTCCTGAGTTTGCACTGTGCATTTGTAATGGGTTCATTGTCTAGCACTTGGATTGGGGGTGTGAGTGCTACACTGGCCTACAGACAGAGTCAGGATGTGATGTAATGACAGGCACAAGGTGTGTCTTGCTCTCTTGTTGTTTTCTGCCTTGCTGTTTGCAGCCGCCATGAACTGTGGCCCTGCCAGGCCACTCTGCCTTGGAGCCAACTGAGTATGGATTGAAACCTCCAAAAAACTATAAGAAACAAACCTTTCCTTTCCCAACTTTGAGCATCAGGTATTTTGTCTCAGCGACAAGTAAAAAGTAACTAAGACAGCTACCTTAAGAAATATCACGAAAGAGATTATCAGAGCCTATAAGAGTACATATATTTAGCTCTTGAGTTGATGGTTCATGTATGTTTATTTTGACAGTGTTTATTTTGACAACAGAAGGAGAAGGAAAAATTTATAAACAAAAACCAATTAAAATCCTTAGGCACAGGCATATGGTCACTCAGACTTCAAAGCAGTGATCCTGTTAGATCCCATTAGATTTAAGATGGCTACACATTCCTACCACTGGAGACACAAATTCAAGGTGAAGTATTAAAAGTCACAGTCAACAGTGTGCTGTTTATTACAAGAGATGTCACTTGAGAATATGAGATCTAATAAGGCAAATTCATTAAAGAACACAATTATAGGAACTGTCTACTTTCATAAAGGATGATGAGACTTAATTCTGTTCATGCTTTACTCTAGATCATTTTCTTTATTGTGCTTATTATTTAGAAACACTAGTATTATCTTTATTTGGCTAATTCTATTCATTTTAAATAGAATAAAGTGTTCATTTGTTGCTTGTCCTTGTACCCTTTTCCTAAAATACCTAAGGTTTTATAAGCTCATCACCTCTATTACATGAAAATGTTGTTCTTACAGTTACTATTTGTAATAATCAAGTTTGCATGGAGGAAATGTATTGCATTCTGACATAATTTTAATTTGAAATGAAAACACATTAAGTTAAAAACTTACATATGTAAGAAATTAAGACATTTCAACCAATGTCAGAATTTCATTATCCTTATTTTTAAACATCAAAATTGAGAAGACAGTAACAGGTAATTCAATAGCAACATTTTTTAAGCAAAACTGCCTTCAATATGCCCCTGTACAGCAATCGTGATAAATCTCCAAATATTTTAAGAGGTGATTAGCATTTCCTCAAAAGTACAGTACTTCATGGATTACTACTACTTATAGTTTGAGTCAGGATATTTCCATCAACTCTGGCAAATCCTCATATACATGAAGTATCACACATGTATAAAAATCTGTAAGAGTAATCCAGCCTCTATATCAGTTTATAACCCACAAATATTTTAATCTGATACATCTGTTCATTACAGTAAAAAAGAGAAATTCTCATTTGTTAAAAACCACATGAAACTATTCCTTCAAGATGATGTCACGTCCCAATTTACTTTTAAGTACGAAAGTTGAGAGATGCTACTGATCAGAACCACTAAACTCATTCCTCAAAGAATATCATCCAAGTTAAAGACTTACAGAGGACAAATTCAAACAGTGAGATGGCAAGAAAGACTTCTGTTTCTCAACCCTTCTAGTTCTCCTTGATTCCTATTCATAGACTACTAAATGAACAAAAAAAGGGAAGGAGAGTTCAACTTGTAGTATACAGGTTCATTTACATAACTCAGTGACTTGGAAGTCTATAATCAGCTGCATGTTATTCATTCAACCAACAAGTTTTCATTAAGCACTTACTAGCTTTACCACACTTCCCTAGGGTCTACATATCTACATAAAACCCAGTTCTACCTTAGATTTTCTAACCCAGAATTAATCTATATGAGCAGCATCCTATAATTGTTTTTAAAAAGTTTTCTTTGAAGCCAGGAATAGGATTAGCATAATAGAAAGGGTAACTCAAACACAAGCAGGAGCAGGCAGAAAATTATCAGTGGTGTTGAAGGAGATACAAGAAACACGTAAAATTCTGGTTTATGACAAACAGTTGGAAGTAATGCACATTTTAGTTTTGTTGTTTTGTTTTCTCACATTTAAAGCCTGTTTTAAGCTACAGAAATTCTCCAGATCTATCCTTCTCTGAAGCCAAACAAACAAGGTTTCAATATTAAGGTCCTAATTACTCAGGCACAGAAGAGTTTAGAAATGAAAGAAAGGAAACATTAGTAGAACAATACAAAAGTCACTGAGGAAAAGGAAAGGATATGGGTATCACAAGAAAAGGTGAAAAACTCAAAGTTAAGCACCAATAGATTGACCTTACTTTCAATATTCTCAAACCAGCAGGTTTCTTTAACACTAGAGGGCATGGACAAAGAAGCAAAGGCGAGGGGAGGAGAAAGAAAAGGAAAAGAAAAGCAAAGCTAGATTTCACATAAAGCTGAAAACGTGAGGACTCCAGGAGAGCCAGATATTTCCACACGTTGGGCTGCGTAAGTGTCTTTAGCCTTGCAAGTAAAAAACCTAAGATGTACTGGAAAAAGTGACCATGATCTCTTCCAGGTAGCTGCTCTCCTAAAGACTAGGCTAAGGCAGATTAAGGCAGGCATGCCTCCTCTGTCCCCAGAGCACCTCTCTGTGGCCATAATACCTTGGCTGCAAACATTCCCCATCCTTTGGAAATTAGTTTTCCCTGAACCCTGCAGTTTCTGTTCGCTTGTCCACTGACTTACCTGCAGCTGCCTGCGATATCTGAGTAACACATTCTCCAACTGGAAACTGAACATAGTCAAAAGACAGCGCACAGAAGGAGCTCCCCCAAGCTTTCCATGCCCAGACCAGAAGCCTCGGCGCGCTGAGGTTCCTGCCAGTACCCTTGGACCCCAAATAGGGAGGGTAGCACAAGCCCTCTGTTCTAACATTTATGCCCCCTATTCAGCTTCAACACAGCCCAGACAAGGGCAGACTGCCTGGATCTGATCCCCGTGTTCCTGCCGGCGCAGGGCAGAAATCTTTGCACCTGGAGGTCTTCTGCATAACCAGGATGTGCACCACCGGCCCCATGCACCTCAGGATTGGGGGGGGGGGGGGGCTCAGAGGGAAGACAGAAGGAGACAGACACAGGCAGCGAGAGAGGGGGTGGGGGCGCTGCAAGACGGAAGGACTGGCAAAAAGAAAAAATAAGTAAATAACGGATACAGACATCCCAAGAAAGACGGGAAACAGAATGAAAAAGACAGAAATGGTTAGGTACAGGAGGAAGCAAAGTCTGAATCAGATGGACGGAAACTGAATCAGAGAGGAAAAGAGCGAATGAGAGAACACTAAATCAGGCAAAGAGAAGCAGAAAAAGAAGGCAACCTTCAAGGAAGATACCCAAGAACCAGAACGTGCCCGGTGCTGGGGCCGAGTAGCAACGCCCCCTAGGTTGTCCGTAGCTGGTGCTAGAAAGTTGCCGGGGCGGAGAGGCCAAGCTATCCCTGCAGCGGACTCCACGGGGCGCAGAGCCGGACCCAGCGCTCCGGCTCAGCGGGGAGCGGGAAAAGCCCAGCGGAGGACGAGCAGGCGGCGGCGGCACAAAGTTCCGCGCCTCGCCATCCTCCCGCCGCACCTGCGGCCGCGGGCGAGCCACCGCCGGGCTCCCCGGAGACCGCCCCGCGGGTCCGCCTGCCCTGCCCTGCCCTGCCCTGCCCTGCCCTGCCCTGCCCTGCCCTGCCCAGGACTCAGCCCCGCGCGCCGACACTCGCTGCGGGACTTTGCGGCGCCCAGCCCCGCCACTCCGGCAGTCCGGAGGGGGACCGTCCCAACCCATCCCGAGAAAGAGAAGGGGAGACAGGGAGAGACGGAGACCTGCTATGGTGGCTAAGGATCCCGCGAAGAGAAGGGCGGTCCGCGCGCGGGCTTCAGCCCCGGTGGAACCCAGCAGGCGCCGGCCAGACACGCAGAGCGCGGGGCTCGCCAGCCCGCGCTCACCTGGAAGCCGCGCTGCGCGCAGCCGGGCTCCCGCCCGCGCCTCTCCTCACACTGCCCCGGGAGCGCAGCGACCCGGCTCCGGCCTCGGCCAGCCCCCGAGAGGCTCCCTCATAGCGCGGCGGCGGGCGGGAGGGCTCGGCGAGCGCGGCGAGGCCGGGAGCGCAGCAGAGCGAGCGAGGGCTCCGGCACACTGTCACCTCCGCCGCCGCCGCCGCCGCCGCCGCCTGGTCACTTGGCCCCGGCCCCCGCCCCCCCGGCCCGCGGCCTCCCAGCCCCTCCTCCTGGCTCGGTCCCTCCCCCCTCGAAGCCCCAGCCTGGAGGCCTCTCACTGGGCTAGGATCATTTACGTAACCAGCACCCCAGCCCTCCCCCTGCCGGCTCCCGCTCCTCCCCGGGCTGGGGCGGTGCGCACCGAGCGCGCTCCAGCTGCTCCTGGTGCTTCCAAGCTGCGACGTGCACAAGTCCCGCGATACTTGCCAGGCACGGCCCCCAAGGGCGCCTGTGGGGTGGGCTTTTCGTCGGGGAGCTTGGCTTTCGACCCTCGATCAGCCCGGGGGCCCGTGGTGCAAAAGCTGGTTTAAGTACACAGTGTGCGCCGACTGCAACAGCGAGTCTCTTAGAGGAGAGCTAGGGGTCGGGGCTGCCCTCGGGAAAGTTCCAACAACCCCACCCTTGCCGACGGCTCTCCCTTGGAGAGATCCTGAAAGGGACTTGAGCGATTAAGGTTTCTACGCCTTGATGTAAAAAAGACAAGACTTTGGCCTCTTTGACAATATGGTTCATGCACCCCGACAGGGTCCTAGTATTCTGGTTGGTGCCTGCGGCTGTCACCACCACAAAATGCTCTCTTAACAGAACTGGGGACATAGACCACGTCATTGCAGTCTTAAATTTTTTAAGCAGCGGTCAACTAAAACGTGGGACTTCGAATTTCTTTCTCAGGCGAACAAATATGGTAGCTAACACGCACAGCATGCATATCAAAGTACCTGAAAGCTTGCATATCTAAGTTAATGTGTAGTGTAGCAGAAAATCCATGATAATAAATAGCATTTAAATAAATGTAAGGATTTTGAGAGAGTACCAAACTCAGGATACAGGATGAACAAGAGCTGAGGCCTGTCTGTCTTCCACTCCCATGTAGGAGGAATTTTAAGAAATTAGACTGCTATGTTCAAATCCCTGTTTGATCATGTATTCACTATGTGCCCTTAGTTAGTTCTTTTGGCCCTTGACTTCCTTCAGTCTATTTTCTTATTTGTAAGAAGAGTTTGACAAAGATCCCTTCTTCTCATTCTCCATTCTCTCTTCACGTGTTTTATGGTTTATTTGGCAGTTGGTAGGATAGCCACTTCAAAAATATTGAGAACTATTTTTACATACCTGAAACTTAATTGTAAGCGATGACAGCGATGCTGTTGATGTCTTAGGGCAGTTTGTAAAGTTGTCTGTACCTTTTTATGAATCAACTATCAATTTAATTACTACATTACCCATTCTGCCACTCCCACACCACAAACAATTAAGGTACATCAGCAGGGTGTAGAAGCAAAAGCCTGGATTTAACCTCTTGAGAGGCAAAGGCAAGGATGTAGCTTGATCCTAAGAGTTCAAGACCAGAGTGAACAACATAGCAAGACCCTCATCTCAAAACATCATAATACTGTCTTTGGAATTTTTATTACTCCCACTTAGAAGTCCCAGTTGTGACAACAGGTCACTGAACACTGCATGTTCTGTTATGAAAAGCTCTGTTCCAGCAGATATGATTCTCTTGTTACTAGTCATATGTCCTTGAGAGACATTAAATGCCTATCCTTATATTCTTCATCTCTATAAAAAGATCAATTCCATTTGCAGTGTTTCTAATAATATTAAACTTAGGCAAGAATCATAAATCTAGTTGGCAAAATTTACATTTACATTATAGTCCCAAATGGCTCCCCAGTAATTCTTAGCTTTTGCTCAAAACTTCCCCCCAAACAGAACATTGCATATGCAGGAGATTAGAGCTATTAGAAAGAGAAATATGAAGCAGGAATTTTGTGTTCAAAAGCGAAAATCAATAACAATGCTAACATTTCAATGGTTTTTGTCTAATGACCTTTACAAAAATCTTTATAACTGGGACACTGTCTTTTCCTTAATACGTACAATGAGCTAGACATTATGGCAGGTGTTGACAAAAAGCAGAAAATAAAAGCAGACCTAACAGAAATTAGAACATGGTCATTTGTGTAGTGAATATTCATGAAGTGTTTACAACATTGCGATTATTTGGAAGACACAGAAAAACGATGGGAATGAAAAATATGAAGACTCTGATCTTATCAATGCTTAGTTTCAATGATGTGTGTACTAAATGAACAAGTATGTACTTAGGTTCGATGATAACAAGTTCTGGAACATAATTGAAACAGACTAAGAGCTGAACTTTCTGACTAGTGTATTGTATCATAAAGTATTTACAAACATGCTGCTATACACTGATCAGCTCATCCATCAGAAGTGGCCAAGTAGGATGACCTCAAGTTGCTAGTGTACATAATCAAGTAGCTTCTGATAGTAAGAATCTTGTTAAGGGCTCCTAGGAGAAATTGGAGCTTGCACTTGAAATTATAGTTCACTGGAGAAGCTGGAGCAAGGAGACTGGGTAGGGACCTCTAGTGGATACAACTCCAGGTAACAATCTAAAGCTCTACCGGCATAAATATCAGATAATTCTACTCCATATGGCATTAATTTGTTTGGTGCTGGTAGCCATGTCAACTACAGGTGAGCTGTTCTAATAACGCATGAAGATTCTTCAAATCAATCCTTTATCTCTGTTTTACATTTTCTGATAAAAGGTTTGAATTCCTATACAATTCAATAGGTCTTATTTTAGTATTGTAATCTATTAATTTATGTGAAAATATAACTTTTTAATAAATTTCAAAATCAATACAGAGGTACCTCTCTTCATGAACTTAATTTTTTCCACAGTTCTAGGCACAAATCAAATTGGATAAGAACCAAATCAAACTTCCCCATAAGATCAACAATGAACCTCCCCACTGAATTAGATTTAGTTCTTATCCTTCTCAATTTGTGATCATAATTGTGGAAAGAATTAAATTTTTGAACAAAGGTACCACTCTATACTCAAATCTATATATTCTGTCTCATGTTACATAAAGATTTGCATCTCTTTTATGGTAGCAAATGTGTATTCTTCCATAACCATCTGATTGGGATATAATGTCTCAAATGTATAGTAGAATATGTGAAGGGAAAGAGTAGATCTACTTATTTATATAGTGATATAGCTTCATTCAAAGCAGTGTGCTTTGTATGGTAAATTTTTGTTGGATGAATAATACAACTAGCTATTAATCAAATTTAACAATTTAATACTATTCTATATAAATTTTAAAATAAATGCTTATCAAATACATAGATAAAACTTTAATTTTCCTTTGAAATTTATTTTGAAGTTCTATTAAAATACTGTCCTTTGTTTGGAAAAAATCAGGGTGCTTTAATTAGTTGTTTGAAGCTTTACTCATGAGCCCACCAAACTCAATGCAACCACTGCAAAATCTTTTATCCGACAGATAGCTTAGATCTGACTTCTTAACTCCATAAGACAGTATCTTTTACATTTATGCATTAATGCCTTTTACGTTTAGAGTGAGTCAAATATAAAAACGTATCAAAGCCACTTTTTAAAATTTAAATATTTTAAAAGATTCCCAGAATCATTTAGACTTTCTTGCTAAGCCTCATTTTTCTTCAGCTATCCTGTTAGCAATTATTTATGTTGCAACATAATTTACAAAACAAAACAATGTGAATTGGACACAAAATTTTTAAATAGGCAAATATGAATTATTCAATGTTTAATACAGAACAGGAAGTAAAAAGCATTAAGTGAACTGACAAATGTTTGGTCCTGAAAACTATCTAACTATCTGGGTAGGATAATGTCTGTTCACTTTAAATCTACCTGTGATGCTAATTGGATGTGAAGGGGCAGTCTTCTCAAAGTGAACTGACAAAATAACAATTTATTCATTACGGAAAGTTGATTATCATAATAAGAATTGTATTAAATTCAGCTATATAAATAAAAGATGTATTTAATTTATTTATGAAGATTAGAAGTTCAAATTATACTACAAGTTAAGAACAAAAAATGCACATATTACTAGGAATTTTCATTAGCCTGGAGTTCATAACATGTCATAAATTCACTAATTCCTATATCTAATAATTTTCAGATAGATAAGTAAGTAGATAGAGAAACAGATAGAAAGATAAAGCTAGAAAGTGAAATAAAACAGACAAACAGAAACTATAAATATGATTATATATACTTTATATTATGTATATATACATATATTTCCTTTGAAAAACATAGGACATTTTATAAATAAAACTATGCTAAAAAGTATCATAGTAAAACTGAGCAGAATCTTAAAGTCAAAATGTTTATGGAAAATTTAAATTGACTCCATGACTCTAAGCTTAAGATAAAAAAATATGCTAGATATGAAGTGATGATTGGTGCACTTTTGTTTGCAATAGCAATCCAAATAGAATCAAAGCAATAAAGTCTATGCCCTTAAAAGAAAATAATGCTAGACTCTCCACTAGAATACTCTAAACATGAGAATTGACCTTTGTAATTTATATTATAAGATACTGACAATTACTGAAATTCATAAAGAAAATAGGAAGGAAAGTGTTTAAGTGTATCTATGCCTCAGGGATATACAAAATAGCTCTGCAAAATTGTTTCCATACTTTTGGTCATGTCATTTTTATTGACATTATTGTGCTGCTTCTCTTGAACAAAAGGTCATTGTATATGTATGTGTGTGTATATATGTATATGAAATTATCCATTTTACATTTCATTTTATCAAGTAAACACCCAGACTTATCTTTCTTTCAAAATATGTAATCACTTTAAGACTCTTAAATGTAAAGAAATAGAGTTTGCACTTACTTGTCATAAACTGTACAACTGGAC